GTGGTGGGCAGCCAGTTTGGGGGAAACTAGCTTGAGGTTTAGGTTAACATGTAGAGGGCTCAGGTGAGAATCCTAACAGGAGTCTAATCCAACTGTGCCTATGCCAAATATGATTCTCCACTTTGGAGTTAGGTGAGCAAACAAATTCTTATTTAAGCAACTTTTTTTAGTTACTAACATGAAGGTACTGTTATTGCTAATGAGACTTTGGAAGCGAGGTCCAGTGAAATTAGGACTGAAAGCTCTCCTTTCTTGGTATTTCTGTCATAAGCACAAGTATTTTCTGTTTTTCTTGGGATATCGTAATTGATTAGAGTTAACAATCTTAAATGTGAAACTATATTCAAGTCTTGGAATGGAAACTATTGTTTTCATGGTTAACTTCAATGTCTCCTTAATCTCTTGTGTCAAAATAATACATTAACTTACCACTCAATCATGTCTGTTAGGGAAACCTGACGGCTTGTCAGAGTTCCTAGCAGGATGACACAATATGTGATGGCATGATCGAAACTGTGGAAGCAAATATAGATTCTTCTTTGGGGGCAGTCATGTGGAGGTGAGGTTGAACCATGAAACTGGGGGTACATGCTTCTACTTAAAGGTATTGCAAAACAAAACGAAAATGTTAATGTATTTATAGTCTGTTTAAGAATGTGTTCGATTACTAACTAGTTTTCTTATCATAACCAGACTACCTCACTGTAAAAGTTACCAGGAAACTTTTAGGGCTTTGTTTTCACCTGCCCTTTTGGTCCCATGTGAAGTTTACTGGTAAAGAGTTCCTTTTTAAAGGTTTTCCACTCTTCTCCTCCTGTGATCTCCTCTTCCTCTGTCCATTTAAAAAAATTTGATGTTTCCACAAGCCAGTCTTAGGCCCTCTCCCTCATTCCTTGTTCCCAACAGTTAACTCATCTAGCTTTTACTATCAAATCTCTACAGAACATTCACATAAAAACTAATCCAGAGCCAGGGGTGTGGTGGTGCACATCTATAATCTCAATTAGTTGGCAGGCAGAGATCAGGAGGATCGCAGTTTGAGGCCAGCTTGGGCAAAAAGTTAGCAAGAGCCCATCCAACAAACAAGCTAGGATGAATGGTAGTGCATGCCTATGATTATTAGCTATGGGAGGTAGAGGTAGGAGAATTGTGGTCCAAGGCCAGCAAGGAGAAAAAGAAACAAAACAAGAAACCCTACCTGAAAAATAACTAAAGCAAAAAAAAGGGCTGGAGATGTGGTTCAAGTGGTGGAGTGCCTGCCTAGCAAGTGCAAGGCCCTGAGTCCAAACCCTATACCACAAAACAAACAAATAACAAAAAAAAATCCCAAAGCCAGTAAAAACCTCTTAAAAACAAAAAACAAAAAACCAAACCAAACAATCCAAAAAACCCCAGTACATTTCTGTTCTTTTTAAAACTCTAGCTCCTGAATGCTGTTAGGACCACTTCAAAGGCACCTATAGGATCTAACCTCGTCCTACTCTTGAATCATCTCTTATCACTTCCCACATCCTATTGGGCAATCTCAAGTTTAAATGAATTGTCATTTCCTTGCTTTCTGCCCCTACCTTCTGCACATGGTTGTACTCCCAGTCTGTAATAGTAACAACCTCACATTACCCCTTTTCTGGCTAGGCCTCCTTTCTTTCAAGTTTTACCATAATGGTCAGATCACTTCCTCCAGGAGGGCTACCTTACTAACCTAACCCTTTTCTAGAATAAATGTTCCTCCTGAGAATCCTTCAGCATACTTTATCTTCATAGCAGAATACTTAAATTCTTGTTAACTTAGCCTTAGCTTCCATGGTGAGTTCTCTGAGCACAGTGGCCATCTCTAGCTTATTCAACATTTCTCCAGAGTAACATTGGGCCGGGTGCAGGAAAGGCACTTGGTGACTATCTGAATGACTGGATAACCCATGCTAGGTTCTCTAATAAGTTATTTAATTTTTTAGGAAAATAATTTATGGTGACTTAGCTCGTGTTTCAAGGAACATAAAGATGTTAAGTTAAAACTACATTTTTACTAATAGACACCAAAAAGAAGGTACAAACAAAATAGAAAAGAGTTTGAACACTGTATGGCAAAGAAATTCTTTGATTACTTTCAACAGGAAACATATAAAGGGTCTAACGAGCATACAGGCTACTAGAAAAAAATAACTCCATCCACAAAACAATGAAAGGACAATTTCACTTTATAGAGTTTTATTATAGGATGTTAATTTTAGGACACTTCGGAGCACCTTATACTTCTAATCAGATTTTTTGGTAACTGGTTTATAAAGTGTTACTTGAGTACTTTTTACATATCAACTTTCAGGCAAATGTACTACTCAGTGATTATTTAAGAGATGTTAATTTGATTAAAACAGTTTATCCTTAATAACCTGAGACATCAATCCATGGATGGCTTCTATGGTAGTTTTACAGCTAGAAAGAAGAAACACATAATGTACAAATTGAAAACTGTTTCAACATGCAAGTTCCCCTCATGTCTATCCTTGCACCCCAATAATGGTTTTCAGTTTTTTCATACTCCTAAACCACACCAATTTGAAGTTTACCCTTGTGATTCTTAGCCTTCTGAGTATCATTTGACCTTTTATTAGTTACTTGAACTTTCATGAAAGAGTGACAGTATAAAATTTGATGTAAAAAAATTCATAAAAATCAATTACTGTTACTTAGCAGCAGCTTTGGGAAAAGTTCTGTTTTAGAAGGTAACTAAAGCCAAACATTAATTTATATCAATATATACATATCAATCTGTAACTACAGATTGATTGTCGTATTACAGTAGCATTTGTTATTACTATTTCTAGAAAAATTTAAAAATGTTAAAGAATTCTATGCTTTTTTTTTTTTTTTTCCTTTTTCCTGAAATAATCACAAATATCCTTCAAACAATTAAGGAAAGTTAGGTTAGTGAGTGAAGGACTCAGATTTCAGAAGCGATAAAAATAAAAAGGAAAAAAAATGGCAAAATTCTACCATTATTTAGAGGAGATGCAACTCTTATAAAGCTATCACAAAAAAGAAAATTTTCTACTTTATTCTTCTTACTTTTTCTTGTTTCATAATTCAAGAAATTCTTCTACAGAAATTTTTGCTATTTTTTAAAGACATTGAGATGCAAATGTAGATAAAATTACAAATAACAGACAAAAGACAGTCAAACCAAAACACATACTAAAGCAAGTACCAAATATAAGACCTACTGCCAAAGGAAAATATAACTTTTATTCAGGCTATTCGCTCTACCTCCTAAAACCCATGAAGAAGAGAATAAGACATTTCTAACCCAACATGATTCCTTCTGTCATGGTAAACTTCATCTTATCTTCTCCTTTCTTTTTCCTATAGACTAATCCCAGTTTTTTCTTAAAATAGATACCAAATGTATCAGCTTGTATTTATATAAACTTACATAGATATAATGATTAAAAATGATTAGGTCAGCGTAGGTTAGGACATCTTTTGCAAAAATTTTTTTCTCCTCAAAAAAAAAAAAATTCAGTGATGGACTGCTTTTCTTCATTACACTTTTTTCTAGCTAAACCTAGAAAATGTGACTGCAGTTTTCTGTAACATCACCTAGGTCTTTGATTTAAGCCTAAATGTTTTTCCCTATTGTCTCCTCAATTTTCAAATTAAAAATCTATGTATGATAAGTTTTGCAGATCTAAGAAGGTAGTATTCAGATAATATTCAGGTATCATTTTAATTCAGTTATAACTGAATTGAATCATAAGAAACTTGACTCCTACTATTATTTGCAAATTTGAAAGAAGAGTTAGGGGCAGGAATCTTACAGATTAATTCTTACCTGTCTCTTGTAGCTTTGGCAAGTTTATCTTCTGACTTTCGGTCATGTGTTTCTAAACCCAACATGAAACTCCCTCGTCCCAGCTGGGCTTCTGACTGCTCTAACTTTTCAGACAAATCGAACACCTGACCAGTGGTATAGTCTGCATTCTGTGGAGAAAACAGTATTGATCAGTGTATAATATAAGTCTACTCTTAAAAAATATATGTTGGACTGGTGGCGTATCTTAAGTGGTAGAGTGCCTGCCTAGTAAGCATGAAGCTCTGAGTTTAAACCCTAGTATGGCAAAGGAAAAAAACATTTTACTTCTATTTTTTTATTTTTTGCACACAGGGTTGAACCCAGAGTCTTGGATGTAGCTCAGTGGTAGAACACTGAGCTACATTCTCAACCCTTTTCATTTTGAGACAGGGTCTTGCTAGTTGTTCAGGCTGGTCTTAAACTTCTGATCTTCCTACCTTGGCTTCTCGAATAGCTGGGATTACAGGTGTGCACCACCTTCCCATTAAACACCTATATATTTCTAGGTAAATTAATTTTATTCTACATAAAACATTTCATGTTTCCACTATAAAATCTGAGTGGATAGTCAGTGAAGTAGGAAGTTAAATTCTAGCTACAAAAACTGCTTCTGAATTCCAGCAGTAAAATTTAGATGTTTTCCCTTTTAAAATTTCAAGATTAAATTTGGAATTTGTCTCTTTGACTGCTTAAATCTAGTTGTTTATTTTCTGGCAGTACTAGGGATTGAACTCAGGACCTTGAACTTGCTAGGCTTGCTAGGCAAGCATTCTCTTGGAGCCATACCCCAGTCTTAACTGTTTAAATCTAGCATTTGCTATGACAGGAGGTTTTGAAGTACAATGAATTTGAGTGTAGAGGGTAGCAATAATTTCTACCCTAAGGCATTTTTCAAAGTTAAAATGTATATAAAGGTCTCAGGACTGTCCATGACACCTAGTAAGGGTAAGTAATTATTAGCTCATTTTGTTATTGAACTTTGAGAATTAGTATTTATAACAATATTTAAAAAATAATATTTTAGCATTTCTAGTCATAAAATTAGTTATAGAAAATACAGAAAATGTAGAACAATGTAAAGCAGAAAATAACACCCAATAATCCCACCACCTCACTATAACCAGTTATATTATTTAGAGTGCTGTTACATGCTCACATGCATACCTAGATTTGAGACACTAGAATATTATGTATACTATTTTTTCTTTAATATTATACACTTTTTAAAAAGGAAAAAATCAATAGCTTCATGTATGCACTTAGCTGTGATATTTTATTTATTTATTTGAGACAGGATCTCGCCTAGGGTGTCCTGGAATTCCATATATAGCTCAGGCTAGCCTCCAATTTGTGATTTTCCTGCTTCAGCCTCTTGAGTGCTGGGATTATAGGTGTGAGACACCATACCTAGCTGTTAAGTGTGATATTTTTTAAAAGATTTTCATAAAGTATTATCTTTTAGTGGTAATTAAAATGTAATTTTTTTTCTGCAAAAATAAGTTGTGAAGTATTAGTGAACAAGTTGGCAAAAATTAGTATGTTACTTTATTTGCTCAGTTTGTAAGATTGCATCCAGGAAACATAGTTCCACCAAACACCAAAGTTGTCTTTGCTGTCTTACTGCTACACAGCAGGCCCTTTAAAATGCTACTGGTTCTGCCGATGATTTTACAAACTTAGATATTTTAAAAAGATATATCTATTCTGTGTGGATGCAAGTAGTTTAGAAAATTAACACATTTTTCTTTCATAAACTTAGAAAAACCCTAAGGTTTATAGACCTCATCATAATCATAAGATTTAGTTACTCAAGCCATGAAAACATAAGCTACCAGAAACAGTTATACTATTAAAATGTCAATAAAACATCCAATTCCACTTCAAATGCATATAGAATAAATTTAGGCAACTAATAGAAAAATAGAAAATAACTTTCTGTAGCTTTTAGTTTACATGCTGATATTAAGTGATTTAGGCTGGGGAAGAAGAGAAGTTGAACATATATTTACATATTTTTTTCTTAAAATGTTGTAATGGACCACATTAAAAAAAAATCACAAAAGGGAGGAAACCTAACTCAATCTTTTCCTGATTATCAGTGTCCTCATATATATAGTGCTGAGATATACAGACAGCCATGTCCCTGTCTACTCAGACTGCTCTGGTGTTTTTTCTGTTTTCTGTTTTGTTTTGGTCTGGGCTTTGCACTTGCTGGGCAGGTGCTCTACTGCTTGAGCCACACCTCCAGCCCTGATCCGGTGCTTTCTTCCCTTGCTATCAGGTGTCACTTCTGGCTGCTATTAGTACACGTGTCTCTAAGGAAACAACATATTAAAACCTTGTGTCTGGCACCTAGAAAATACTAAAAACCTTGTCAGAATTGTGCTTAAAATCTTAGTAAGTAGATTCACAAGTGGTCTTTTTCCATGAACACAATGCACCAAAGTAATAATAATCATTAATAATCATTTATTAGGGTGTTATTATATGCCATATACTTTGCTAAGTGCTTTATATAAAGTACCTAATGGGCTGAGGGTGTAGCTCAAGTGGTATAACACTTGCCTACCAAGCTCAAGGCCCTGATTTCAAACTCCAGTACCACCACCAAAAACCAAACCAAACAAAAAAACCAGTACCTCATTCTCTCAATGTGCTTAGTGATATATTATCATCACCATTGTATACCAAGATAGGCTTAGTCACAGGTGGCCTATAATTGCAGTTATGCAGGAGGCAGAGACTAGAAAGACTGAGGTTTCAATTCAGGCAAAAAGTTATCAAGATCCCACTGTGCACCTCCAGCCACATGGGAGGCCTTAGGTATGAAGGATCATGGTCTGATGCCTGCCAAAGGCAAAAACACAAGACCTTGAGGGCTGGTGGAGTGGCTCAATTGTAGAGGGCCTGCCTAGCAACCATGATGCCCTGAGCTCAAACACCAGTACTCCTAAAAACAAAAACCAAACCAAAATAAAAAAATGCACCTAAAAAAGATCTAAAGAAGTAAAAAAGGGCTGGAAATGTGGCTCATGTGGTAAAGTATCTGCCTAGCAAGCACAAGCCAAGTTCAAACCCCAGTACCAACAAAAACAAAACAAAATAAAAGGCTCAGTAATATTTAAATAACATTCTGAAATTACCCAGAACTACTAAATTTGTAAGGTTGTTTTCAAAACTCTGTTTATTTTATTCCAACTCCCATGGTTCTAACCTCCATGTATTGATACTATATGAAACAGCCTACTTTTTTCAAAGAGTAAAACTGCTCCTCAGTTCTAAATACAGAAAGAGTTATTAAATAAATATCTTTCTAAATAGATTTTAATGATATACCAGAGAATATTAATTTTAATTTTTTTCTCTGTCTAGCATTTGTTGCTTTAAGGTAATGATCTTCAGATTTCTTTCTGGGTACCTGTCCTTCTCCATGCTAGTCCCTGTGCTCTTGAAGGAGTTGTCTCCAACTCTGCCAGCAGTGAAGCACTGGCTGTGACTCAGCCACTAAAGTTCATTTCTCTGGCCCACAGCAGGTCTAATGATGGGCAAGTGAAGTTAGTCAGATACGATGAGGCCTTGCCTGAGAATATGCCAGTGTATATATCTTGAGTTTTCTCTTTTGAATGTAAAACTGAGAGGCTAGGAGATCTGAAGGTAAAGCTTCCATCTTGCATTAATATGAAGCCTGAAAATGAATTTAACTGATAAAGCTGAGAGTGGAAAAACTAAGACTTCGTAATATTGCATGAATGAAAAAATTTGCCTGAGATAAGCTCTATTCCTTAACTTAATAGCTTACACAATTCCCTTTCTTATTTCATTGAGTATCTTGTTACTTGTTAGAGACCTACCTTAGATATCTGTTACATGATGCAACAAAAACTGTCTTTGTATTTTGTTCTCTATAAGTCTCTTTAAGGCATGTGCAGATCTGATACCATTTAGACTTGGTATCTCTGGCACATGAAATAGACCTTGAATTGGCTCATTCTGATCCAGCTTGGTGGTGCAGAATCCTACCCTAGACCTGGTGTCTTGACCAAGTCAGGTACTGTCTTTCTGTGAAATAAGAGTTTCAGGTATTAAACAGCTTCTGTAGCTTAGATGAAATTTCAATTTGCCTGGCATGGTGGCCCATGCTTGTTATCCCAGCACTTGGGAAGATAAGGAATGAGGAGCACAAGTTTGAGGCCAACTTGGGCTACAGAGGAAGACCCTATCTCAACCCCCAGCCCCCTAAAAATTTCAAATAAATCCCTCACTAGTACAGTACTTACAGTAAGCAAGCTAGAGGAACTCAGCGTATTCACCCAGTATTTATTCCATAAAAGTTCAAGTAATTTGCGATCCAAAGAGGATTTGAAATATGAGACTTCTAAGGCATAATATCTATGAAATGAAAGCACAAATTCAGGTAAATGAAAAAATTATTCAGTTACATCACATAGAAGTTATGGCAAAACTTAAACAAATTTTATTTTATATTCAAATAGTCATAGTTTTTAGTCCAACAGAACAAAACTCCCTTGTTATGTATTTTCTTTTAGAGTCCAGAAATTTCCAAGAAGTTATTAATAATCAGAATTTCTCAGTGACATATTTATTCATGTTATTGAGCTTATAGATTCCAGCTAATAACACATAAGCTTAATGAGCCACGAGCTACTTATCTAGGGTAACCTATAATTTTTGTTGGACTTTTAAAAAAATACTAAAAATGATTATGTGGATTCCCCATTTCTTCCTTTCTAATTCTGTAGTTAGCATCTGGTGCTTTTTTCAAAAGCAACCTTAAAGTAGGTCCTAACTGCCTACAAGAATTGTTACTGTTTCCAAAGATGGTTAATTTATACTCAAGGCATAGGAGGCAAAAAAAAAAAAAAAAAAAAAGGCATAGGAGGCAAATTTGGTTAAATGCCTAAGAAACATACATGTTTTTCAAAGTAACAAATATTTAGATTTCTCAGTGGATTAGTGGTACAAAAGATAAAGGCACATGGACACAACAAGAAGAAGCCTGCTGATTAAAGCTTAGCAGTGAAAAAATAAAAATTAACTTGAAGTCAGGTGCTAGTGGCTCATGCCTGTAATCCGAGCTACTCAGGAGGATATCATGGTTCAAAGCCAGTCGGGACAAATAGTTTGAGAGACCCTATCTCAAAAAAAAAAAACCATCACAAAAATGGGCCTGGTAGAGTGGCTCAAAGTGTAGGCCCTGAGTTCAAGCCCCAATACTGCAAAAAAAAAAAAAAGAAAGAAAGAAGTTGAAGACGTTGGAATTAAGTGAAGGCCTTTTCAAGATTAAGACACTATGCATATCTGAAGATAGAAAAGCAGTAGCGAGTGAAACGTGGAAGGAGAAGTGTATTTCTTAAGCATCTACTGTGTCTTAGATGCTTTACCTATGTTCTGATTTAATCTTCCCTACACCTGTAGGAGAGAGGATTTATATTATCTTCACTTAACAGATAAGGAAACAGATTTAGAGATTAAAGACTGCTACAGATTGGATCTAGAATTTTACCTAAAGGCACATGTGTTGAAGACTTGATCCCAAGCCTGTGGTGCCATTGGAAGTGGGGCCCAGTGGAAGGAAAGTCATTAAGGGTGTGCCCTTAATGGAGCTATTAGACCTGGCTCTCCTCTTTCTCCCTCTTTGCTTTCTAGCCACCATGAGGTGAACAGCATTCTCCACTAAGGTTTATGTAAGTTAAAATATTGAACCCATCAGATTCTATGTTTAAAATGGAGTTTGGCAGCTGGGAGTGTAGCTCATTTGTAAGTGCTTGCCTAGTATGTATAAAGCCCTGAGTTTGATCCAGTACCACAAACAACAACAACAAAAACAAAAAAAAGGGAACAAAACCTCAAATTTTGGGTTTGTATTATGATATGGAATTTAAGGTAGGAAGAAAAAAGAAAAGCCAATATAAGCTGCAAATAACAGATTAGCAATTAATAAGTTAGGAAATGGATGTATAACCAGCCTATAAAAAACCCTTGTTCTTTCAACTTTGTACTATGTTTCATTAAATACTTGCAAATACATAAATAAAATAATTTATTTGTCCTATTAAAATTTTTACTTATTATTTAGGAATTAATTGAAAGTAAGAGAACATCTTTGAATATTGTAGCAATTCTAGGTTTGCCACTCCTTTCTCTTTGACAGGCTCCTATGCGTTACTTAGAAAATGAGTCAAGCAAAACACACTTCTTAAACAGGAATGGCTAATACTCTTTTCAATGAGGCAAATTAAATGATTAATCGTAATTATTTAGGATAGAGATAAGTAGTTTTTATAGAAATATAGTGGAGGTGGTTAAAAACCACATATATTTAAAAGCTCACTCTAGAAAACGGAATTTTTTAAGAATTTCTAAATGGAAAAATAAGAGCAGTAGTAGCTTATAAGTAATTAATATATTCCTTGAAGTTGGGATAAGAGGTGTGGAGAAAAAGAGACAGTAGATACTCATTACATTATCATTTATTCATTTAAGCAACATTTCTTTTAAAGGGTCCACTCTTATAGGTACCATGCCCTGTTTTATCTGCAAATACAGCAGCAAATAATTCTGTTTCCATGAAATTCACATTCTAAAAGGGGTCAATAGCATGGAAGCAAAAACCTAGCAATAATAACAAGTGCGAAGAAAAAGAAAGCAGGGAAAAGGGTAAAGAGTAACAGGAAGGTGCTATTTGACATAGGGTGACCAAAGAACCTTTTCTCTTAAGGTCACACTAAAAAAGAAACTCTGCAATTAAAGTAGTTAATGAGCCACATGGAAATAAGGAAAAATGTTCTAGGCAGAGGAAACAGAAAGTACCAAAAAGGTCCTGAGGAAGGAGCAGTATGGCTTTACTGGAGAGAGCTAAGGCTGTGTGATGAAAGATGAGCTCAGAACAGTTGTAGGGGCCGACCATATATGGTTGTGTAGTCTATTGCAAAGCTGATGGGAAGTCATTCTGAGAAGGAGGAATATGATCTGACTTAAATTTTAACAGAATTAGTCTGGCTGAGAAAATACATTTTGGGGGTGAAGAGTATTTGTAGGAAGACTAGTTAGGCAGTCAGAACTATGGCTCAGGCTCCAAATGGCATGGGCTTGGGTGAAGGTGGTAGTAAGAAAGGTGGTGAGCTATGTGCAGGAGGTTAAGAAAGCTATTCTTATTGACTTCTTTTTTTGGGAGGGGGAGGATCATTCTGGGGTTTGACTGAGCGATGCTCCTAGCCCACTTTAACTTTACTTATTTTTCAGATAGGGTCTCACTCTGGGACCATGAGCCTCCTACTTACGCCTCCTTAGTAGTGGTACCACCATGCTCAGCTTATTTGTTGAGATTGGGATCTCATTAACTTTTTGTTTGGGTTGGCCTTGAACCACCATCCTCCAGATCTCTGCTTTCTTATAGGTGTGATTATTGGCATGAGCCACCACACCCAGAATTCATTGGTTTCTTTAACATAACAAAAAAAAAAAAAGGGGAGAAATGCAATTCATATACCCTAAAACTTCCTCATTTTTAAAAAGTATATAATCCATTGGTTTTTTCATATGGCTTTTTTAGCCTTTGGAGTAAAAATGTATAGAAAGAGTCGTTGCTAAGTAGAAATTGGGTAATTTACAGACTACAAACACCGTGGTATCAGCCTGGCCCCGAACATAGCATTTTCAATTATTAATTTTGTTATGTGCAAGAATCTTGTACATACAGGAAATGTTTCAGAATCTAGACCTGAAATGTGTGTGTGAATAATATATATTATCTATTTATAACATGATGTTGAAAAATGGGGGAGGAGGGAGAACAGGGAAAAGAGACACATTAGAAGGGGTTAATTGATCAAAGTACAATCAATACCATATATACAATTAATATATACTAATAAAAACATTTAGCTGTTTAATACAATTTGTTACCCTTTTTTTTGGCCAGTACTGGGGTTTGAACTCAGGGCCTCACACTTGCTAGGCAGGTGCTCTACCACTTGAGTCACTCCACCAGCCAATTTTTACCCATTTTTACTAAAACGTTTGAATCCAGTTGTCCTCTTATTTTGGTGGTACTGAGGTTTGAATTCAGGGCCTTGTTCTTGCTAGGCAGGCTGTCTACTGCTTGAGCCACTCTGCCAGCCCTGTTCTGTGTAGGGTCTCAGGAACTATTTGTCTGGGGCTGGCTTTGAACTGCAGTCCTCCTGATCTCTACCTCCTGAGTAGCTAGGCTTACAGGCGTGAGCCTGATGCCCAGCTTCCAACTGTTCTATTTTTAAAGGAATTAGTTTGAGTTGGCAGTGTTTCTATAAATGTCACTAGTACTTTTGCTGAGTGTGGCTGTCTAAAACAACTTTGCTTATACCAAAGATACCATAATTTCCTCTTCCTGTCACTGAAATAATATCTCCTTGAAATGTAGATGAACTGAATGTGTAAGAAAGGAAGAATTTTCTTTTTCTGTATAAAGACACAATAAGGTAGAGTGCGATATATCTTGTTGGATAGAGAATATTAATCATAGACAATTTGGGAGAATTTCTTTTATTAATAGTTAGCAAACTATTTAGCAGCTGAAATATCTGGGGTCATCCTAGTAACAAATCTGAATCAAATTATAATAACATTTTACAATAATTTAACCCACATTGTTTTGTTTTTGTTTTTCGGTGGCACTGGGGTTTGAACTCAGGGCTTCCTCCTTGCTAGGCATGTGCTCTACCTCTTAAGCCACACCTCCAGCCCACTTTAACCCAAATTATCCTTTTAATTATTGCTAAACATTTTCTAAACTTTGTTGAATATTTATTTCAATTAAAAAGCAAAAAATTGAAATAAATGTTTACAGTTATGTGAATGGCAAATAACATGCTAAATTCAAAATTTTGAACTTTATCCTAAATTCATATATTTTTATTATTATTTCAAAGGGTACTATATTATGAAATGCATTTTATCTGAGTCTTATTCTCATTTGTAAAATGAGGGGCTTGGATTGGATGACCTAAGGTTTCTTATGAAGTTGGTGTCAGTTATTTCTCTCTCTCTCTCTCTCTCTCTCTCTCTCTCTCTCTGTGGAGCTGGGCATCAAAATCAGGGCCTTGGCAATACTCAGTCAAAAGAACAATGCAGGAGGTATCACAATACCTGACTTCAAACTATATTACAAAGCAATAACAATAAAAACAGCATGGTACTGGCACAAAAACAGACATGAAGACCAGTGGAACAGAATAGAGGATCCAGATATGAAGCCACACAACTATGAGCAACTTATCTTTGACAAAGGAGCTAAAAATATACGATGGAGAAATAGCAGCCTCTTCAACAAAAACTGCTGGGAAAACTGGTTAGCAGTCTGCAAAAAACTGAAACTAGATTCATGTATATCACCCTATACCAAGATTAACTCAAAATGGATCAAGGATCTTAATATCAGACCCCAAACTCTTAAGTTGATACAAGAAAGAGTAGGAAATACTCTGGAGTTAGTAGGTATAGGTAAGAACTTTCTCAATGAAACCCCAGCAGCACAGCAACTAAGAGATAGCATAGATAAATGGGACCTCATAAAACTAAAAGCTTCTGTTCATCAAAAGAAATGGTCTCTAAACTGAAGAGAACACCCACAGAGTGGGAGAAAATATTTGCCAACTATACATCAGACAAAGGACTGATAACCAGAATATACAGGGAACTTAAAAAACTAAATTCTCCCAAAACTAATGAACCAATAAAGAAATGGGCATGTGAACTAAACAGAACTTTCTCAAAAGAAGAAATTCAAATGGCCAGAAAACACATGAAAAAATGCTCACCATCTCTAGCAATAAAGGAAATGCAAATTAAAACCACACTAAGATTCCACCTCACCCCTGTTAGAATAGCCATCATCAGCAACACCACCACAACAGGTGTTGGCGAGGATGCGGGGAAAAAGGAACCCTCTTACACTGTTGGTGGGAATGTAGACTAGTACAACCACTCTGGAAAAAAATTTGGAGGCTACTTAAAAAGCTGACATCGATCTACCATTTGATCCAGCAATACCACTCTTGGGGATATACCCAAAAGACTGTTACTCCAGAGGCACCTGCACATCCATGTTTATTGCGGCACTATTCACAATAGCCAAGTTATGGAAACAGCCAAGATGCCCCACACTGACGAATGGATTAAGAAAATGTGGTATCTATACACAATGGAATTTTATGCAGCCATGAAGAAGAACGAAATGTTATCATTCGCTGGTAAATGGATGGAATTGGAGAACATCATTCTGAGTGAGGTTAGCCTGGCCAAAAGACCAAAAATCGTATGTTCTCCCTCATATGTGGACATTAGATCAAGGGCAAACACAACAAGGGGATTGGACTATGAGCACATGATAAAAGCGAGAGCACACAAGGGAGGGGTGAGGATAGGTAAGACACCTAAAAAACTAGCTAGCATTTGTTGCCCTTAACGCAGAGAAACTAAAGCAGATACCTTAAAGCAACTGAGGCCAATAGGAAAAGGGACCAGGAACTAGAGAAAAGGTTAGATCAAAAAGAATTAACCTAGAAGGTAACACCCACGCACAGGAAATCAATGTGAGTCAATGCCCTGTATAGCTATCCTTATCTCAACCAGCAAAACCCTTGTTCCTTCCTATTATTGCTTATACTCTCTCTACAACAAAATTAGAATAAGGGCAAAATAGTTTCTGCTGGGTATTGAGGGGGGAGGGAGGGGGGAGTGGGTGGTAAGGGAGGGGGTGGGGCAGGGGGAGAAATGAACCAAGCCTTGTATGCACATATGAATAATAAAAGAAAAATGAAAAAAAAAAAAAAAAAAAACAAGCCTGGGAACTCGATTACCCATTTGATCCAGCAAATACCACTCTTGGGGATATACCCAAAAGACGTACTCCCAGAGCACTGCAATCATGTTTATTGCGCACTAATTCAACAATGCCAAGTTATGGGAAACAGCCAAGATGCCCCGCCCAATGACGAATGATTAAGATGTGGGGTATCTTATACACAACGGAAATTTTATGCAGCCTGAAGAAGAACGAAATTGTGGATTCATTCGCTGGTAAATGGATGGAATTGGAGAACATCATTCTGAGTGAGGTTAGCCTGGTCAAAAAACCAAAAATCGTATTTCTCCCTCATATGTGGACATTAGTACAAGGGCAAACACAACAAGGGGATTGGACTATGAGCACATGATAAAAGCGAGAGCACACAAGGAGGGGTGAGGATAGGTAAGACACCTAAAAAATTAGCTAGCATTTGTTGCCCTTAACGCAGAGAAACTAAATAGATACCTTAAAGCAACTGAGCCAATAAGGAAAAGGGAACAGGTACTAGAGAAAAGGTTAGATCAAAAAGAATAATTCTAGAAGGTAAAACCCACGCACAGGAAATTCAATGTGAGTCAACCCTGTATAGCTATCCTTATCTCAACCAGCAAAAACTCTTGTCCTTCCTATTATTGCTTATACTCTCTCTACAACAAAATTAGAATAAAGGGCAAAATAGTTTCTGCTGGGTATGGCGGAGGGAAGAGGAGGGCGGAGTGAGGGTGGTAAGGGAGGGGTGGGGCAGGGGGGAGGAAATGACCAAGCCTTGTATGCACATTATGATATAAAAGAAAAATGAAAAAAAAAACATCAGGGGCCTTGGGAATTGCTTAAGTAGTAGTGCTCTCATGAACGACATCCCTATCTATTGTATGTTTTGAATTACTACTTTGCAATGTACACCAAAGTTTCTATTTTATAGTGGTGTCTGGTACTCAGGAAGGTCTTCATCAGGAGGTTTGTAAGCCCTAAGCAAAGACAAAGAAACAGAAGATTAAAAATGACAGTCACAACAGAAAAGCAAGACAAATATATATTTCCTATGCACCTTTTAATTTACGGGAACATTAATTTTGGGGAGCCAAATATTCAACATAAATAATCTAATAAAAAAGAATACTTCTTCTATCCTTTCCAATCCCATTCAGTGGCTCTACGCTGCACTTGACTTACAGATTCATTGCTCTTATCGTTAGGAAAATGCTAACATCTGTTGTAAACTGCAAGCACCCTCCCGGGAAGGAAACAGATCTCTAGAACCTGCCAGAATGCCATCGGCACCAAATGCTTATTATATTAGTAATATAATCTCTAGTGAGATTAAAAATATATAACATAAATGAGTTAGTTTTGCTACAGACAGTCATGAGTGCTGTTTTGTAAATATCACTAAACTGTTTTAGGATAAAAAGAGATACAAATCAGGCTGGGGATGTAGTTCAGTCACAGAGCACTTTTTTTTTTTTTTTTGTGATACTAGGGACTAAACTCAGAGCCTCCTGCTTTGCCACTTGAGCTACTTCCCTAGCCCTGTGGCAGAGCACTTGCCTAGCATCAGTGAGGCCCTGAGTTTGATCTCCACCACCCCCCCACCCAAAAAAAAAAAGAGAGATGCTAATAATATCTTTTTTAAAAAAGTTGAGTATTAGGAGTTTAAAAACTTAGAAAGACTTGTAATTTAAAAACGAAAAGTTACCTTTGGGTATGTCCTAAAGGCTCCAAGATTCACTTTTCCTGCGGATATGGTTCTTGTTGGGTCAATCTACAAGAAATATATACTTAATATTTGACAATATTCAATCATTACAAACCTAAAAATACAAATGTACATATAACACTCTCTATATACAATAAATTACAATATGAAAAATAACCAAATCAAAAACACCATAAAAGTTCAATGAAATGGGAAAATATATAAAAGAGCCTCACAGTTAATTTAGAGATTAGACTTAGTTATTTTATCATTTAAGAATATGGGCTGCGGAAGCACAGTGAAAGAGTGGTAAGCCCTTGGTTCCATCCTGAGCACCACACACACACCACACACACACACACACACACACACACAATAAAGTAGAGGTGTGGCTCAAGTGGTTACAGTGCCTGCCTAGCAAGCACAAAGCCTTGAGTTCAAACCCCAGTACTGCCCAAATAAACAAAACTATTAAGCCAAGCATGGTGGCACACACCTGTAATTCCAGCGCTCCAGAGTCGGAGGCAGGAGGATCGTGAGTTTGAGGCTGCACTGGGCTACATACATTGTGAGATCCTGTCTTGAAACAAAAACAAACAAAACAAACTATATATAAAAAATATATATATATATATATATTTTTTTTTTTTTTGGTGGGATTGGGGTTTGAACTCAGGGCTTCATGCTTGTAAAGCAGGCACTCTACCACTTGAGATACACCTCCAGTTCATTTTGCTCTGGCTGTTTTGGAGATGAGGGTCTCTCAAACTATTTCCCAGGGCTGGCCTCTAGATCTCAGCCTCTCAAGCAGCTAGGATTATAGGCATGAGTCCAGCTTCTTTTTGCTTTCAATAGATGAGCAATTTCAACTTTCCTCCAAGAAATCTGGATTGCATCTAAAATACAACAACAATGGCTCCTGAAATTCCTGCCTACACAATTCAATCATAGACTGAATGCCTATGATAAGCTGGGTGTAAGTTATAGGTGCTACAATTAACCTCATGTGTTGGAGCTGGGTGGGGAGTGAGATGCAGAGAGGTTAAGTAACTTGCTCAAAGTTCTAGTTTCTAAGAGGTGAAATTCAAATCCAAACCTGGGCAGACTGATACCAGAGCCTTGTTCTTTACCATACTGTTTTGATTTCTAAGTGTATTTGTTTTAATAAGTCTTCAAAAAGAACTTAATTAAAACTGGTTTTAAAAATACTTACTACCACTGCTACGAATGGTTCCTGGAACTGCTGGTTAAGCATCTGTGTACTAACATCAATCCCAGAAAGCCAGCATCCATAGCCAGGGTGGCTATGATACCAGCCAATTGCATTTTCAAGGCGGCCAACCTAACAAATGAAGAGGACAAAGAGCTTGAGATTCTTGTTTAATCTCAGAGATACTGCCATCTGCATGTTTTATATAGCATTAGTGGTAGAATTACAGTGTGCAGGATACTTCATAGTATATGCAGCTTTCAAGTTAAAAGGATTGTTTTGAATAGATAATATATGTACAAAGCACAAAGTTAATAAGGTACAAGAACAACAAGGGTAACTAGTAACTCTTTCAGCTTTTCCTTCAACTATTTGGTTTCTCAGCCCAGATGTTACTCCTGTAGTCAACTGCTTACATACTCTCACACAGATATTCTTTGAGTATATATAGATTAACAGACACACTCATGTCCCATAGCGTACCACACACAGTATTTTACACTTTGCTTTTTCACTCAACAAACAATTTTGGAGTTTGGTCCATATTAGTAAATAGAGATAGTTATTTTTTTTTTTTTTTTTGAAGCCCGAGTAAGTGGTCCATTAATGGATGCACTATAACTTATATAACTGGTTTATACTCAGGAATATGCAGGTTGTTCCCAACCTTTTTATTTTATTGTATTTCATTTCATTTTTTTTTTTTTTTGCTCGGGATCTTGAACCTAGGGCCTCCCACATGCTAAGCACAAACTTTTTCTTTTAAACACATTTCTTTTTTTTTTTTTTGTTGGGACTGGGGTTTCAACTCGGGGCTTAGTGCTTGCAAAGCAGGTGCTCTCCTGGTTGAGCTCCTAAACACATTTCTGATAATGAATATAATCTATGCTGTACATCTTATCAGGCTTTTAATGTCATATACATTTTACATAGAAATTGGTAACCTGAAATATAAAATTTAATGTAAAGAGGATAATTTTAAGTTCAGAAACTCAAGTCACCTAAGGCTCCCAGGTGCAGTTACTGACCTTTAAGAAATGACACTTTTTACCTGCTTGGCGTTCTCTATGTATGCGGCCATGTACTCGTAAGCAGCAGCCTGCGCGTTCACTCGGGTTTCAGTGCCCTCCACAGGCAAAGCGAAGCTGTCCATAATGATCATGGTCTCACCGTCCACCTTCCCCAGCATCAGGCCCATCACTTCCAAGTTGCCTCCTGATCTGGCGTGCATCACCATTTTCAGCAGCGCCAATGCTGAAATTTTGCAGTACTTAAAGTAATGGTGACTACAAAACAAAACCATGGTGTGATTAAATTTCTCATATAAATGTACAATTCCCAAAAACTGGTGTTTGTAAAGATAATGAGTAAGTGCTGAAGGGATTTACAGCAATGGAAGGGGGAGTACAGAATATGGGAAGAAAAAGGTGATGGAAATAATAAATATTTTCTAGTCCTTTTCAGTATTTCTGTTGGGGAAGGGGAAAAGTATGAAATAGTTTTTAAATACACTATTCAAATGAGGGAACAACATGATGAGTTCAATAGGCTTTTTCTCCACCAATTTGGAATCAGATTATCTCTGACTCTAGTTGAATGGTTGTACCTAACCCTTCTTAGACCTAACCTTCTGGCCTAATTTTTGTGAATGTGCTTCTAAATCCATCTGCCTAGGTTTGAATCTTGTCACTGACACTATCTAGCTGTGGCAGGTGGACCATTTAATGTCTGTGCTTCAGTTTTCTCAATGGTAAAGATAATATTTCCTAGTTGTTAGGGTGAAATAAAGCACATAAAGAGGTACTTAACTTTGTCACTGCCATATACCAAAACTTTAATAAGTACTGTTATTAGCATTATTAATTTGTCTCTTATGGCTCTCTCAAAGGAACAGTGTGTTGGAAGGGTGTGACTTCCCTCTGTGAGAGCCTCAAAATTAAAAAGTAGTCCTAATATCCCTACTTTTTCTCTGACCACTATTCCAGAGTTGTCATTGGATGTGACTAAACTCTTGAATAAAATTACATTTGGTATCACTGATGCAACCTAAGACAGCTAGAATGAATATAATTAGAGCCACAGACAGTGAGGCAAATAGTTAAGTTTCCAAGTATTTAATAAACTACATCAACATAAAATGTACAGCCTGCTACAGAAGTAGACAATCAAGCTGTGTAGAGTGGTCAGTCAATGTCTGAGAAAGATTTTTAGATGTCTGCCCACAGAAAGCAACCAGGTTTAATATCCAGTTTTTACCCGAATTGAACCACAACCTGAAAGATAAAGAGACTTTGTCTTGGAAGTCAAGACACGAATTAAAATCTTGGCTCCCAGTTTAACTGGGAAAAAGAAAAACAATAACCACAGTTATTGTGCTCCTATTATATACTTTCTACATATTTTTAATAGATATCTAATCTTCATGACAACACCAATAGATAGGTTTATTTCTATTTTACAGATAAAATGAAGATATTAATGAGTTTCCTAAGGTCAATCAACTTAGTTAAGTGACACTTATGACAGACATATGATCTTAAATCTGTTGCTCATTTAAGAGTTCACTGCTTCACTATGGTCATGAGGTAAGTTTCTTAATGAAATTTGCTTATTTTCTTATTTGCTAAAAAAGTAATGAAAATACAGTACTGAGTTGTGATGAAGATTATGACATGAAAATTCATAGCTCAGTGCCTGACTTATCTTAAGTACTCAAATAAATATTGCTGAAACTAAATACTGACAGTTAAGATAGCCTTGGGAAAAAAAAGTGAGGCAGATGAATGTTCTTTTGTTGACATAGCTGTCCCCCCTCCCTCCCTCACACCCACCCACACATACACTCACTCTCTCTCTCTCTCTCTCTCTCTCTCTGGTGGTACTGGGGGTTGAACTCAGGGTCTTGTGCTTGCTAGGCAGGCATTCTACTAGACAGCTTGCTCTGCTTTCTGTCTTTCACCAGACAGTGTCCTTTATGCTCTTTTTACGCTCTCCCTAATAAAATCTGCTTGCAGGAATGGATAAATGTTATGGGTGAAGAACCTGTCATCACTTTCAGGGATACACAGATTTTCCTAAGTCTTAAGTTTTATTTTTACAACTTCCGGCTTATGTGAACTGGTGGAATAACATCTGAGTCTGGACAGAGCCTCTGTGTACCTCTGAAATAATTACCATCAATCAAAAAGGCTATTAGATATCTTTGAGAGACATATCAAGGCTATTTTCAAGACCCTTGGTCTGCGGACTCGATTTCTGAAAACAGCTGCAATTCCCAGTTTGGGATCAGCTGAAGGCCCCCAACAAGGTGCACGTCGGCACCGAGTTCAAGGCAGATGTGTGACACATATGACAATAATGATGCTGAGAAATGACAACTCTAAGCCACCGCTTGTTCTCCTTTTACAACCTCCGGAAACAAATGGGTTGAAGACATGGAACGGGGAGTCAAAGCTTTCCCCAGTGGAAGGGCTTAAGCTCCACGGACCAGGACAAAAGCAGAGCAAAATTTCTCAGGCGCATATTCTCTCCCTTCACCTCCTTTGACGCCCAGTCCCCCCGGGTTTGTTAAATTCCCGCCATCCCTCCCCTCCCCTTCGTGTCGCCAGGGACCTCCTCACTCCTTAGTCCAGGGCTTCGCCGCCAGGATTTCTTGCTGCTGTTTTTTGTCGTATTTGTAGATTTCATCGATACTTTGGGCTTCCTGCATGTTGTTGGCCAATTCCCAGGTTTTCTGAGCCATACCGCTCCCGGACGCCGCCATCGCCGAGGAATCGGGGAAGCTGTCGCCTCCAAGACCAGGATGCAACTTTCCCTCGCTAGGACTTCGGGTGTGAGCTTCCGACCTTCCCCACCACAGGTGCAAACTCTCACTAGACTCGCGAGGCCGCCATGACACCTAGAACCGGACGTGAAGTTGGTAGAGACCATTCGGGGAAAGCAGGAGCTCTTCAGGGAGGCGGCGATATAAAAAGCAATTAATTTAACAGTTAGGGAGACATTAATCGTCTTGTGTGTGAAATGAGGACATACTGTCTTGGAAAATTGTATGCATAAAGTAGGACAAACATAAAGACTCGGAGTGGGAATGGTATAGCCTTCCGCACCGGAAGAAGGGCATGTTAACGTTATGCCAGAAACGGGTTGGCCTTCTCTGTTAGTTCTGCGCAGGCTCCGCCTCCGCCATGTTAGCTGTAGGTGGAGCCTTAAGTAGGCATGGGTGTGTAGGTACCTTAGGGAAGTTCCTTGGAAGACTAGAAAATAATGTCCTTGGAAAAACCGAGATGTAAGTAGCTCTGGATACTGGTTCTGGAGAGGAAGATAAACACGGAATCCTATTTTACTTTAAGATAATTCAGTGCACTTGAGTAAAACCCCCAAAGGTTCGTGGTTGCTTGACACTTCGCTTTTGGTTGGACTTTCGCTAATGCTCGGAGGAGATAATGAAAACGGATTGCTGCGGTCAGACGTTTTGATGTGTTTGCAAAAGTTAACATCTATATATGTATTAGGAATTGTTAGTGTTCTGAAAATGTTTAGCCCTCACTTTTTATAATAGGTTAAGTTTTGTCTTTAGCACTGCTATGAACTGCTTTTGGCCCGGGGCAGAACTAATGTCGGCAACTTTTTGGTTTCTTCCAACAGTTACTACTATATTTGTTTAATTTGTTTGCTTGTTTTAGGTATTTCTCCCTCTCCGTCCCATCCCAACACTCGCACTAGGTCCTTAATTTCAAAACATGGACCAGGTGTGTGCCATATTGTATCCCAAACACCTAGAGTAAGTAGTCAATAATTTCTTTTTGCTAGGAAAAAAGCATCACAGCTCTTCACAACCTGTTTCCTATGCACTTCCCCGGTTTTTAGTCCTCCCTGAAGCTTTACATTCTAGCAATGCCTTTGCTTTTACTTTGGCTTAGCAATACATGTGTTCAGCATTGCTTGAAGTGATCTTCCCTGACTTTTCTGCCTCGGAGCTCACATGAATCTCTAAAAACACAGGTCAGAGATCTCTACCGTGAGCTCTTTCTTGACTCTGTCCAATAACCATTCCTTCATGGTGTCTCTAAGGATCTGTAGCTGCTTCTACAAGAGTTAACTGCTCGGTAAGAATGTATTTGTTTCTGTGGAAGTTTTTCTTTTCACTGTAGGCTTTGCGTTGTAGCCTCCACTCCTAGTGTAAGGTACTTGGCAGATAGTTAAGTAGGTAAAAACAAAACTGTTCGCTCTACACCACAGCTGCGGTTTTGACATTGACTTCAAATGGCGAAAACTTGCCTTTAAAACCATCTTAGAATATAAGTTCAGATAAATTAGGGCCCTTGGGATACATTAGTATCGTCAGTTACATTCTCCTGGGAAGTTGGTGATCTCTTTCTAGCGCTAGCATGTGGCCGCTCAGGATTGAGGGAATTGATAACTTGTTGAAATGGTAATGAAAAAGCGTAGGACGTTGCCCAGATTCCTGGGCTGGGAATAATGCCTCAGAGACACAGGCCAAGAGTTCCCCTCTCTGTCACCACCCTCGTTTTCTTTCCAGGCTCTGACACTGTTCCCAGATCCGCCGGCGCGCGGAGAGGGCTGGAAGGGCTGGAGTCGATTTGACCTGGGATATGGCTCCCATGGCTTAACGGCCCTTGGGTGCTGCAGGGGAGATAGGTGGCCAGTCCGCAGCCTAGATGTGGGATCGCTTTGCTAGCAGCGGGGGCGGCCTCCGGAACGGCAGGGGGCGCCCTCCGCCGCGCGGCCTCCCCCAGAGGGGCGGGGCCGCCCCCGGCCGTTGGCGCTGGGCGCACGGAGGGCTGGGCCTGAGAGGCGGAGCGCCTACCGGCGGTCTGTCACGCTGTTTCCGCGCCGGGCGGCCGCCGTCACGCCCTCTAACGGCAAAGATCCTTGCTGGAGCGCTGTGCGTCTCCTCGGACCCGAGCCCGCTCTCCTGGGTAAGAGTCGGCCGGCCGCGGGTGGGGAGCAGAGCCCCGGGATGTGGCCTGAGGGGGGCGGGGTGAGGGCGTTCCAGGGCGGGGTTCCCAGCGCCTGGGGAGGAGGTCGCGCGCGGCGTCCGGCCGGCGGCGGAGCGCGAGGTAGAGGCTGGGGGTTGGGGTCCTGGCGAGACGTACGTTTTGTACCTGCTGGGCCAGGCGAGGCGGGGAGGGCCTGAGTTACGGAGGGGGAGGTTTAGGGTCTCGAGGCCGTCATCGGGCGGCAGTGATGGGGTTATAGGGTTGGAAGCGGGAGTTCCTTGACCGTGGGGTCTCGTTGCTGCGGGTCGGGCGACGACTCCCTGGTTACGGGGGGTGGGGGTTCACTGCCAGTGTGTGTGGGGGTGTCTCCCGGCTCTGCCGCGGGGCCGGTGTCCGAGTTATGGGGTCCGGGTCTGTGTCTCTGCAGCCGGTCAGTCGGTCCGGAGGAGATGCCGAGGTTACAGGAGTGGGGCTTCCTGTGGGTGTAGCTCCCCAGCTGCCCCGGTTACGCGGTTCGGACTCGCGGGCAGCGCTGTGGCCGTCGCCTCGGGTGTCGAGAGCCGGTTGCCAGACAACGCGCTGACGCTTTCTGAAGAGTCCGCCGCTGGAGTGTCTGGAGACTGCCGCGCCTCGGGCCTCCGGGCGCCTGCTCTCCGCCACTGGAGGTTAATGTTTGATGTTTGAGCGCTGTGTGCCCGGGCGTTTTGCTTTGCAAATGAAGTTTACTTACTGTTCTTCGTATCCCTTTGAGGTCATTGCTGCTATCCTTTTTCTCTCTGAAGTTGTGTGGAGCCCAAGCTAACGGACGGCCTTGATGTTTAGGTTTCTCGTTTGGAATTTGAATCTAGTTTTCATGAAATGTTAACAGTGCGGCTCATCTTTTGAGAGATGAAAAACACTATAAAATGTAAGGACCTAAAAGCAACTATTATGAGTTTTAAGCGGATTATCCTGAGAGGTTTATTGTATTGGGAAGAATGGCTTGTCATATTGAAAAGCAAGAAGGAAACCAGTAAGATGCTTTCTTTTCTCCACATCGTTCTCTTGAGTTTCTGGTGAAATGCTGAAGTGCTCCACAGGGAGGCTGTTTTGGACTTCCTGTAATGTGGATGATCTTCCGGTAGGGAGCAGGTAGGTTCAGACTAGATAAATTGAAACCAGATGCATTCAAGGCAGTTTTCACCCAAATATTATTTAACTTTTAGAAAATTAAGCAAATTTAACATCTTTTTATTGTCATTCTGACTTACTGTGATGTGCTTTCCTGAGTGATAGACAAAATTGTTTGAGCAAGTGTTTTAGCAATCTGTATCCCAAAGGCTGTCTAATGTATGCTACTGCCCTAAGTTACCGTTACTGGTCTACTAATATCTGCTAAAAGACTTCAAAGTGGTTTTATTTATTCACTCTCTTTGTGTCCTGTCCTCCACCCTTCCAGTTGCTCCCACCCCAGGCAACATAGTATAGTATAGGTGTAATATAGTATACACCTATAGGAGTATGCTGCTCATGTGGAAACTATCTGACAGGAGAAAGACTGAGACCCTTTCATTTGGTGAAAAGACAGCTGAGTGAATAAGTGGGAAACCCTCTCCTGATCACCTCACCTTTCTGTCCTCTAGGACTCTTTCACAGGCACCATCCCACATACCTACATACTTCCCACACCATACTTACATGTTATCACTCCTTGAGACTCTGCCCTTGGTTCTTTTCTTCTACCCTAGGGTCTTTAATGTCAGGAAATCTCTTCTTGCACAGTTTTTTGTTTGTTTGTTTTGAGGCAGGGTAGCCTAAGCCTGGCTTGGAACTTGAGATCTTCCTGCTTCAGCCTCCTAAGTGGTGAGGTTGCAGGTGTGTACTACCACACTGACAAAGAATCAGCAAAATTTTTTCCCCAATGGTAAGTATCAAAGCCAGGGCCTCATGCCAGGCAAGTTACATCCCCATCATCAGTAATTACTTTAAACATTGCTAAATCTTTATACTCAGCCTGTGTTCTATTATGAGTTCCAGATACATTCAAATTATTTTCTTGATCTTTTAGGGGTATCTCACAGTAATCCCTAAATCCCAGTCTGGCAAGACTGTGAATGACTGTGACAGGGAATATTAGTTTATCTAAATTTGAGGGCAAGGATCTTCTTTTGTTCTTATATCCACCCCCCTGCATCTAGCACAATGTCTTGATTTAGAAGGGGGGGGTCATTTTCTATTTCTCATGCTTCCATAATTGGGAAAAATTTACCCTTGTTGAGAGGGAAAAGAATAGAAATAACATCTTCCTTTCTCATTGTGATTAATGAATCACAATGAGAATGTATGCTTCTGTATTTTGGATTGTGCTAGGCTTAGCAGAATGGGTAAGTATGGATCTGCTTATAAATTTAAGATTTAGAAGTATTGGTTTGGATTTTGATAATCAATGATCAATTATTAGTGATTTAAATCTCAGCACACTTCAAAGGAGTATGCCCCTCCCCTTTTTTTTTGTGCTGGGGATTGAACTGAGAGCCTCATGCCTGTTAAGTACATGCTCTACCACTGAGTTACACCTCCAGCCTGAATTTTTTTTTTCTTTTAACTCATACAGCACCCGATATTCCCAGGTGGCCTCCCATCCAAGTACCAACCAAGCCTGACCCTGCTTAGATTCCAAGGTCAGACAAGATTGGGCATGTTCAGGGTGGTATGGCTGTAGACAGATGCTTTCTTTTTAAAAGGTGAATGTTTATATATGCAAAGACTTTGAAAATACAGCAATATTTAATAAAATAACTCATTGATTTCTAAGCATTAGATTCTCTGTTATATTTTTTTTTTTATGGTACTGTGTTTGAACTCAGGGTCTCCTGCTTGCTAGAAAAGCACTCTTATTTTAGCCACGTGTCCTGCCTTCTGTCATACATTTTAATGTGTTATTGTTTTTTTTCTTTGTAACTCTGGAGTAGGTAGTATTTCCATTTTATAGATGAGGAATCTGAGAACTAGCTTAAGGAACATACTTTTTATATCAATCACATGGAGTCAATAAGTGATGGAAAGTGGGTTTCATTTCTAGTAAAACTGTTTTCCTGAAAACTTTCTTATTTGTATACTATGTACACAGCTAACGGAAAAAATACTCAGTAATAGTATCCCAAAAGAAGTTGTAATTGCATTGTAAAGTGTCAAGAACATACAAAATTCCATTTAGGTGTTTTTCAGCTGATTTTTTTTTTTTTTTTTGGCAATTTAATCCTTAAGTTATACACATTCTGATTGTATTTTGTATGTAGGCTGTGCCCTTCAACCCAGTCAATTACAAATCACAAATTACCAAGTA